AGATGAAGTTTATTGGCAAACTTTATTAACCATATAAAGAAGTTTCTCTTCAATGGACGTTGAACTTTACCTTGCTCAATTTGTTTAATCTTCAAAAACTTATCTCCGCATGAACTATTGTTATTCTTCCATTACAATCTGTGGCAAACTTTATCAAACTTCATTTACGACTGCATCGGCTAGCTGATATTTGCCTTTGGGATTTTTATTCAACTTTAAAGGACTTTATATCTCTGGACATCAGATAATTAATATTTTCCCATTGAAACCTTTGTCAACCTTACAGAACTTGATCTCAGTCTAACCAAAATGACGAAATCTCATTATTGATCAATCTTAAACAACTTCACTTGGATTCGAATCAAATTATCGGCGTATCCTCACTGGCTACTTTAAAGAACCTTGAAGTAGTTGATCTAGATTGGAATCAGATATTAGATTTTTGCCCATTGGTGTGATTGACTTCACGGAAGTCTTACTCTGTGTTTGGATCAAATATTTGAAATAAATGTGTAATTGTTGAACTTTTAAAAATCAACTGGCGATTCAGCCATGAATATCACGCCGGAATTTGCTGTAGAACAATTGAGGAAATCGCGTTGTAGTTTCTAGAAACGTCAAAGATGACAGCACAGGACGGAAGACTTTACTAGGGACTATGATTTATGTTCCAAATGATAATGGAAGTAAAAGATTGGATTAAAGTCCAACAATTGTTATTTAATTGACCATATACACTTTATTTGGATTGATAATTGAAGGTTTCTATTATAATCCACATTTTTAAAAAAAATTCAAGCGAGCTTCGTTAGCTTAGTCGGTAGAGCGTGGTGCTAATAACGCCAAGGTCACAGGTTCGATCCCTGTACGAAGCAGAAGGTTGCATAGTGTAGTGGTTATCACGTGACCTTCACATGGTCAAGGTCTCCAGTTCGATCCTGGATGCAATCATTTTGTCTTTTTTACTTTTAAATACTAAATGGACTGCCAGTTGTTGAACGTGTACGGTATGGTATATGTGAGCAATATCTAGTAATATTACTATTGAATTGTCTTAAAATTTAAGTGGGTTTAAAAACTAGTTATATAATTACTGAGTTGCCATAACTATTAACTTAGTGAGATTACAAAGTGATATTGTTTGATTTCTTTTGTACATATCATGTTGACTTTGGATTGAGCATGAAACAGCAAACAAAAATTGCATTCAATTTACTAAACATAGTTTGAATTAGTACATCACTGTTTTCATGTAAGCGGATAAAATTTATTCACTTCTAAATGAAATTGGAAGCTAACAAGATCGTGGAAAAATTGTAAAAGAAGTACATTCAAATTCTGATAATAAGTTTGAGCTGATAGTATATATTCTATTGTCAATCAATGAAAGGAAATAAGCACCAATAGAAAGTACGCTATGGAGCATCTAATCAATTGATTCAAATGACACGTTGTCATTCTATCCAAACGTGGGGCACATGGAGTAACATTGGACTTTAGTTGATACCACACGTGTTGGAAACTATGCTTGTTTTTGCTTCTTTATGCCAGATTCAGATTTCTATTTGAAGCGGAATGGTACTAGATTTATCGGCGCTTTTCCACCAACTCATCATCATATATACCCCTCATTAAAAGGTTTAGGAATAATGATACTTAACAATGATGGGTTTCCTGAAATGTAGTCCATAAACTTGTTATACTTTTGGTATATTAGTGTTATACCAAAAGTCATATTGGCACAAAGTGGGAAACAAACCCTTTTGGTAACACTTCATTAGAATAATCATCTGACTTGAGCGCTGAATATAAACCAAACACATGGTCACTAAAGTGATAAATGACTTGGGTGTCTTCATGGGCTCAGATATATATCGATCATCACAAGCAACCAAAGAAGCATGTTGGATCATTTCTTTTGGAGCCCATCTAATTCCATATTGTTGCGGAAACCCGTCCATCCATGATCTACAAACGCTCTTATTCAAAATGCTGACCCTGATAAAAAACCCATTTTGACCAAGAAACGGTTTAAAGGGGAACGTTTAGACTTTTTTCCAACACGTTACTCATGAATGATGTTGTACAAAAACACATTGACATCAGACAAAATGAAATAATATAAAAAGTACAAGTAGATATCGATATATTCCATAATCTTTAGATACAAATGAAAAACTTCTACTCTGTTTTCTTACTCGCTCAATCATTATTCGCCTTTCCATCCACAACCGTGGCTACTGACACATATTCATTCTTGGTCATTGGAGATTGGGGTGCACCAGCTGGTCAAAAGAACATTGTGAAAGCCATGAATGATATTGCAGTAAGAGACGATGCAAAGTTCATGATGGCCCTTGGAGATAACTTTTATGGTACTGATGAATTACTGATTGTTTTAGAAACTGGTGTTTCTTCCACAACTGACTCTAAATGGAAAGATGTGTGGAAAAATGTTTATACCGATCGCTTACAATCAATTGACTGGTATTCCGTGTTGGGTAACCACGATTGGTATGGAAACGAACAAGCTCAAATTGACTACTCTAAAGTTGACAAAAAGTGGATCATGGTACTTCATTATACATTAATTGTCTAGCCGGATTATTTTTACACTAAAGTCGAAAAATTTGGTGATAAAAAAGT